ACTGATGTCAAAACCACATATGGCAGCATCTAGGAGACAACACTGCATGAGGACCTACTCCTGACCTTCAGAAACAGCATCAGCCGAGTGGAAGAACGTTCCCTAGGGTGGTGGGGGCCAGTCTTCCTCCTCGGGTACTTTGGGGATCATGGCTTTGGAATGGCACTGGGCAACTACTTTTGTATCCTCCACTCTCACTTTTTTCGAAATACCCAGCACCATGACCACAAACACAGCTGTTGCCTCCCACACTTTAGGAAAGATAACTCTTACATTCTTGTCCCTCTCCACCTTAATCATCCGCTTCTCCTTTCTCTTTCCAGTTAACCCATCCTCCCTACTTTCTCCTCTCAGCCTAAACTCCTCACTCTTTTTCTCCCTTTCATTGCCATCCTCTTGCTTCTCTTCAACCAGAGTTCTAAACCCACATCATTTGGTTCTTTTCTCCACTACAGCACAGAAACTTTCCCTAGGGGCCCAACACCGGTCCTCTGTGCATTTAACCTTTGGCCATGCTTCTCTTTCCCTTCTCAAAAATTTCCCTTCCTTGATTTCTCAGGGAACACTCTCTGTGTTTCTTTGTTAGCTCCTCTTCCTCTGTCCACAAAGCAAATATTAGTGCTCCCTAAGTTTTCAAGCTTGGCTGTGTTTCAGACACTTTACTTGCTCTCTAAGTGATTTCAATACACTTTCATGCTCTAACCACCTGGTATATGCCAATGACTTCCAAAATTCGGAATCTCTCCAGAGCACAAGTTCATACCTCCACGTTAAGATAGAAATCTTCACCTAGATGTTTGATAGGCTCTTCAAATTCAGAACACCTGCAAGCAAACTTCTGTCTTCATTTCTACCTCCTAATCATTCTTTTTATTATAACCCCTACAGTTAATTACCAGGCCACTGAGTGGTCTAAGTTGAAAACCAGACTTCTATCTCATCTCTTATAGCCAAGCTCCAATTTCTCCATTCATTTTCCTAAAAAGCAATGAGATACACCTGCTGCTTTTTATCTTCACAGAAGACTCTAAGATTTTAAGGCACACTTAATTCTTCCAATGTGCCGATGATCAAATTTGCTGGAGGTCACTCAGCTAATAAGGGACACAGATATACATCAGGCCCCAGATGAAGAACTATTCACCCATGCTGTCTTCCCTACATCTGCACATTAACACTCTGGATACTCTCTAAGTCCACATTCCCAACCCACTTTCAGCTGCCTAATTCTTACTGGTCCTTCAAGGCTCAACTCTAGGGCCATCTCTCTCTAGATCACTCTGTTTTCTTGGCCCTCTCTCCAGCATGGGTGGGGAGCCCCAGCGATGAGATTCATCACCGCCACCTAATCTCATACCTCTCTTTACTCCCACAATGCTTCTGCTGAAAGATTGTCAGCTGATGCTTCTTTCTCCTTTCTCAGGCTGAAAGCTTTTCCAAAGCATGGTAGGGTTGGGGTCTTGTCTTAGGATTCTAAGCATTTACCACAGGGCATGGCACATGGTAAATATACAAATACATGTTGAATGTGGAATAAAGTAACTGAGTATCTAATTTGCTCATAGATTCATTCTTAAATGATGTTATCTAACTTAGCAGGAGAGAGTGGCAATTCTCATTATGAGCAACACAGTGCATCATTTTCCTAATAATAATATCATTCTCTCACTAGGTTTATGTTGGGGCAAGCAGTAACCATTAACTGAAGAACTGCATTTCTCAGAAACAGAAATGTATTTTTCACCCACATCACTGATTACCCTAAACACATTCCCAGACTGATATCCTCTCCTTTCTACTATGAAGATTAAAATTGGCACTCTTAAGTAATATGCCTACAATCACACTGAAGGAAGGCTTGTTTGTAAAAGCATGCACAAAATGTTCTGTCATGTACAATCCTTCTTGTCCTGATCAGACCCACTCGTATTTGTGAAAATTACATATAGACCTAAAATAAACCACCTAAGGACAAACCATGTTAACTTGGATGTTGGAGTAGGGAAAACATGGTCACCTCTGATTTATAGAGATTTCGAAGAAGTTCTATCATGGGCACTATCCACGGCAAATCCTGCTTGAAATCTGACTTCTCTTACCAGTTATATGGATATTATAATATTTATTTTCCTCAAAGAGGCTTGAGCACCAAGTTAAGATCATGTTTGCCAAATGCTTTGTTAAGGAAGTAGATGCTCATTTCAGAGCACTATACTAGGGCTGTTTTGTTAAATAGTAGAGGAAAATCCTGAGCATCAGAACCACCTGAACTGTCAGCAGCAGATGGGAATCAGACTTAATAAGCCCCAGATGATTCTAGGGGACACTAACTTTTCAGAAATACCAACTAACCACAATGCCTGTCCAATTCTAAGGTTCACATGGGATCTTGTTAAAATGCAGACTGCAGTTCGGTGGGTCTGGAAGGCAGCAACAAGCAGGCTGAGTGTGCACCCCTCACAAGCACCCAGGGGAAACTTGGTGCTGGTTCATGGACCACATCTGAGCAGCAGGGGCTTGGAATATCTACCCCCAGTGGAACAAATAAGCTTTGTTACGTTGCTGGATCAGAGATCATAGCTGTCAACTTCAGAGATGATTTTCTATAAACCCCAGGCTTTCCGCATTGGTGCAAAACCCACCTGGATCACTCAAAATCAAAGTGGGACACATATCCTATCACAGGTAAAGTATGGCTTCCTTTTCAGATACAGACAGCACACTCATGTTTCACATGTGACAGAGTAATTCTTTGCTGTTGCTTGAGTCAGACACACTGTACAAGGTATTTTATGTATGTTATCTGTAATCCCCGCCCTAAGCCTACAAAGTGAATACACTTGTTCTCCAGGTATGGAAATAGTGAGTTAAAGACTAGAGAGCTTCAGTGTTCCCTGCAACCTTCATGGCACTAGATGAAACTGTGGTATGTATGAAATACAACTGGTAGGGAGTCAAGAAAAATAAGAGGAAAAATGTTTCCCATTTATGTATTTGAGTTTAAGGTTGAGACAGTCTAGATGGGTGTGGAGGCTGTTACTAAAATATGCGGATAGCACCCTTGACCGTAAGTCCCCTAAGATTGATAATGTAGGTGGAGCTAAAGGACACTTGCTGGTCATTAGTGCTGGCCCCTACCTTCAGGTTTCTGGCTGTCAACCTCAATCTGCAAAGAGGAAAAGTTCTTCCTGATCCTGTGGCCTATCACATTCCATACCCTCTCCTTCAGGAGGCTTCTGTAATCTGAGTTCACACCAAACACAGGTTTGCCCTACTGTGTCATGTCCTAGTTGCCTACCTGGAAAAACTGGGTATACCTGAACGAAGTACTATTAAGCACCTTGAAAATACAGCAATTTGAAGGTTTTGTCTGAGTAACAAAATTATCTGTACTTTTCATAAGACAGAGGGGCAGAAAGCTGCACAACAAAAAGACGCTGTCAGCGAACACACAAGGGCACCCGGTGAAGAGGGGGAGAACCGCTACAAAACAAGCCCTCCTGCAATCACCAGCCATCTCTACATTCATGATCCTCTGGGTCAGAAGCAGGGCACTGTTTTTTAACCTCTCCAATATGAAGTTTCCTAAAGATTCTTCTTTCATACAACAGTACAATTTACCTATGTAATAAAAATATACAATTAGAAATCAATGACTCCAGAAGTTAAAAAAATATGTCTTTGCCTGAGATACATATTTGAATTTTAGCTGGATTCTAAACTAATTTTGTCTCCATGGTATTCCCTACATAGGATGCTTCAAAAATTAAAACTGAAACTTAAAAAGAAACTCTTGTGTGAAAACTCATTAGAAATTCATTGAAAACCCATTAGGAAGACGTTCCTGCTTCACTCCCAACCTAACAGATCTCACTAACTCTAAATCAGCGAGCTACGCAGAAGCCAGTTTGAGAATTTTCTAGAGGGCCTCTGCTAAAATGTACAGAAACGAACCTGTTTGCAATGAGTCATAATTTATAAAATCTTTATGGTCATTCTCAAGCCAGCTGTACATTCCAGGCTCTTATTATTTTTATAGTTGCTCACATCTCGTTTAGTAGGGTTCCCACTTGGGGTCATGCACAAAACTCTTTTTTGTGCCGATTTTTTTTAATGCTATCTAAAAGCAGAGAACAAGGTTCTCACTCTCAATAAGTTTCTCCAACCAGAGCATTACTACCAGAGGGTGGGCCCGTTTCTTTGAAGCCCCCAAAAAGAATCTGAAGCGTTTTGGGGGGACTCCAAGCAAAAACGCAGTGGGAGAGGTTAATGGGCAGCATTATACAGGATATGATACACAGGATATGGGGCAGGGAAGGCGTAAGGCAGGATATGTCCGTTTCCAAAGGAAGCAGGAGCTGCACTAGCAGCGGGGCAGGAAAGGCGGAGTCAGCAGCACCGAAGGGAAACCTGCGCGGCTGTATTTGCTAGACGCTGGCCTGGAATCAGTCCGGCCCGTCTGGTCCGAGCGAGGTGCTGTGCGGCCCTCAGACGCCAAGCTCAGGCCCGCGGGCACCGGTGGTTATAAAAGGTACCCACGTGCTCTCGGCCGCCCCAGTCAAAAGAGCGACCCTGGGCGAAGAGCAAGCAGACACCGGGCACCGCGGCAGGTGGACTCGTCAGCCTCGGACGCGAGTCCCCGCCCAGAAGGGACCTCGGGACTCGGCGCGGCAGGGCGAGCGTGGGTGCGCGCGAGGGCGAGACCGGGATGCGGCGGAGCGCGGGGCGCTGCCCTCCGGCTCCCCGGCATGCGCGCATCCTCCAGCCCTCTGCAGGCCCGAGGGAGGAGGCGGGGGAGGGGCAGGGGCTCCCGCGGTTCCCGGTGGGGATCCGGGCGGAGACGGCGACCCGCCTGTCACCCGCCGCCCGCACGCCCGCCCGCTCGCCCGCAGGCGCTCCCGGCTGCCCGCGGCTGGGCGTCTCCCGCTGCGCCCGCTGCGCCCCCGCCCCGCCCAGGCCCCAGCCCCGGCCCCCGGCCGCAGGCCCCGGAGGGCAGGTACCTCGGAGCCCCGGCCCGGGAGCCTCGGGCCGCGCTCGGAGCGTCCCTCCAGCTCCCTTGTCCGACGTCAGCGTCTGCAGCCGCGCGGGAGGGGCGGGAACGCCGGCACCGGCCCTTCCTGCACCGCCGCCGCCAGCCGGAATCGCGGCCGCGGCGCCCTGCACGCCGCAGCGCAGCGCAGCGCAGCTGCCGGGGAGCCGGCGCCCTCCCCTCCTCCCCTCCCCGCCCCGCCGGGCCGCGGCCTGCGGGCTCCCGCGCTCCCGCCTCCAGGGCCTGGCGGGCGGCCGGCTGCGCCCTCTCGGCGGGACCCTGGGCTGGGGGGGTCGCCGGGCGACGGCTCACCTTGTTAGGGGAGGGTCGAGGATGGACGCGGCGAGTCTCCCCCTCGCTACTTTCTGAGGTCCTGCCTTGATCCCTGTCTCCTGGGGTGTCCCCGGCTGCGATGTGCCACCCCGGTGCCCCCGCCCCTGCTGCCCCAAGGTGTTCCACGTGTCCATACCGTTTGCGTCACAATGACCTGGCTACAGGTGGGAGCCTCCTCAGGGTTCCCGCTGGGCGTGTGTGGAGCCTGCTGCTGGTCTCCACGGGGGACTGTGGGGCTGTGGAGGACAAGAAACCATAGGACTTCAATGTCAAGAAAAGCTACAGAGGTCTGTGCCTGGAAGTCGTTTGACCTTAAAGGAGAAAGCCTGCACTTTAAAAAGCACTGTGTTTGTATGTATATAAATATTGTCCTTTCCATATGCCCTCCGTCCCTTATACTTGGTGTTAACTCCTAACTGCAGTCTCCTCTTACCCTTTGTCACCAGGAAAGGTCTGAGCACTTCTTTGCTGGTCTGTGCTGAAATGAGATCCCAATATCCATCCCTGATTATGAATTTACAGATAAATCCGCTGGAGTCACTACAATTGAAAAATTTGGCGGGGTGAAATGCAACGTAGCTACTGAGTAATGACACCCACAGGTAACAAGAGTGGGGTGCACAGATGTGTTTTGTATACTTCACATTTATTCCTTACAACAACCCAGTATTGTAGGGAAATTACTTTCCCTCTTTCCCTAGGAAGACACTGCCCAGAGAGCCAGAGGGACATTCCCACGCAGGGGTTTCAAGCTAGGGTTGTTTGAACCAAGAGACAATACTTTATCTCAAGATAAAATGGGATTTTAAAATGTTACTTTTTTAACAGAATGAAATGAAATGTTTTTAACATTGTAGATCAATAAATACCTGACAATATGAATCAGTTAACTGAACCATTGAGAAAAATAGATTCCTTCTGAAACCTTTTTTTTTTCTGACTATAATTGTCTCATTCCTATCAGTAGTGATTTGTTAGTTAAAGGAAAATATATCTAGGACCTCATTTATCAGAGGTTGCTTTTGAGGAAGATATTTGTACTTGTTACAAGAAAATGTCCCTTCAAAATGCAGATACTTGGAACCCAAGCATTTCAGGAGAGGAGAGGGAAAGTTGGTTTATATAACTGCTAGGTTCCTTTTTGCCTTTCTAAAGGCCAAGGTGTAAAACTTGGCTGCAAGTTCCAACAACTTGTCACACGGCTAAATACAGCTTCAGAGATAATGCCTAAAAGTGGACAAATGTGGAGTACAAACACTGTCCAGTCAGCAGGACAACAGAATATCCTGGGCTGTCAGAGAATTTAAGAGAAACTTAAGTGACTTTTCATGATTCTTAATCTTCTCCTAACCCTTAGGATAATATTTGAGGAAGAAAACAATAAACTCCTGCTTATTCTGCATAGTCATGATGAGTGCCTCTCTCTCCATTTAAAAATGTGCTCCATCTAGTTGTCTCCATCTAGTTGTTTGTGGATATTAGTTTGCTTCTGTCCTGAAGGTGTGAGAATCCTAAGCAGCATCTTAGAATGGCTACTGAGTGAAGAGTTCTAGAATGAGAGCGATAAGGTACATTTCCCAGAGTGTGACAGGATGACAAAATTCCTCTGTCCGGGAGAAAATCCTTAGGTACTCAAGTCAATAAATTTTCTTGAGAACATCCCGAAGTCAAGATGTACTAAGACGACTGTGTGAGTTAGGAGTGGTGAGAATCTTTCTCCAAGATCCAGGATAGCAATGGATTTCATGATACAGGTTTACTCTCTCTTGCATAAAAGAAATTGGCAGGTAGGAGGTTTGGGGCTGGCTTAATCCCTACTGCATCTTCACAATGTCACCTTCCCTCTCTCCCTTAGTCCATCATCCTCAGCAAGCAGTACTGCTTACAGTTAGCTCAATCCAGGTAAGATGCGGAGAAACCAAGAACCTTGTACAGTGTTGGTAGGAATGAAAATAGTGCATCCTTTTTAAGAAACCATTAAGTACACCATTGCCACAGGACCCTGCGATTCTACTCCTTGTATAAACTGAGGAGGAACGAAAACCTCTGTCCAGAAACTTACAGGTGACTGTCAACAGCAGAATTACTCAAAATGGAAGATTGGAATAGCCCTTCTATCCACCAGCGGATAAGTGAATAAACAAAATGTAGCATATTAGCATAAAGGAACATTATTTGACCATGAAAAGGAAAAAAAGTACTGATGCATGTTATAACTTAGATGAATCTTGAAAACAATATGCTAAGTGAAAGAAGCATATTATTATTTTGTGGGTTTTGCTGAGTCACAGAAAGTTATATATTATTCCATTCATATGAAAGTCTGTGATAGGGAAAGCCAGAGAGAAAGAAAGCATTCCCATGATTATTTAGGGGTAGAGACTATGTGAGAGAACAGGCAGTAAGAGCTGAAGGATGTGGGGTTTCCTTTCAAAATGATTAAAATGCTCCAAGGTTGACACATGATTTATGTATCTGTGATATACTAACAAGTGACTGAATTTTCCATTTTATGATGTCATATGAATGGTATGATATGTGAATATTATCTCAGTAAAGCAGTTTAAAGGAATTAACAATTTTTGATGTTCATAAATAGTTTCATTGGAACACTCACAGCATAAATCCAATATCTTTCCCAGGACTCTGTACAGTTCCTGTACAGAGTAAAGAAAACAACAATACACACACAAGCTCCAAACACAAATTATGATCAGATTTCTGGGTGTTGCGCAAATTTTATTTACAGAAAGAAGCTAAATGAGGAATCAAGACCAAAAAAACTTGTTTTTGGAAGACAGAACTTTCTGAAGTCCACCCACTGGATGCCTCTGGATGATAAGCAAGTTCCCACTGGGGAAGTGTTTTGTGAAGGTTCTCCACTCTCCCACTAGAGGGAAAGCAAGCAAACCTAGTTCCCCACCTTAACTTCTTGACCCACACCTCCAACAAAAATCAAGAAAAGTAACAGAAAAGTAAAAAAAAGTAAGAATTCTGGTACAAAGTCTCCGAATTTCTGCATTAATTCCTTCAAAGAACACTATGAGACATTTTCACTTTAATAACTAGTTATTTTGAATGAGTAATTTAATTACAAAAACAGTTCATACTTATAAAAATCAGTTTCCATACATATATATGTACTATATTTGTATAACACACATTAATATGCTATTCACATTATACATTTTAGGGAATTGTTGATGTATATTTTTAATGCTTTAAATGTGCCTTACACTCTCACCAACATGACCAAGTAAGGTAAAATGCCCTTCTTTGTCTTGGCAAATGAACACTCTGCCTCTGAATCCAGACATATATTTATAGTCCCCTGTCACTCTGAAATCTATTAATTTCCTGATTTCTCTTTGACAGCATTGTATTAACTCACTGTACCCAGCTCATAGTAGGGGTAAGATGGATAAAAATTATTACTACGAATGTGTTTACCAAGAGCCAAACTTGAATCATTAATGAGAAAAAGATAACTTTTCCTTCAGAATTTCTGGGAGATTAAAGTTAGATAATGTACAATGATCATTGAAAAGCATGATGTTTTAAAATTATTTAACTGATGGATCTAGATCAGTTGCTGGAAGTCTAAATAAGGATTAAGTATATTTTATTGGCAGAATCGATCACTTTTAGATTACAAAATACTTTAGAAGAAATCAGATATACTCAAGAGCATAGATTAAGCATCTCAGTCAATTTTGGATTAATTCCTGTGATTGTTTGTGGTTTCTATGAAGCAAAACATAGCTTTTTTTTTTTTTTTTTACATCTTCTGTACAGCTGGTTGTATCTTTAAGCAAAGTTATGTAGGCATATGAGAACAGGATAAAGGTTTAATTAGTAGCATTAACTTTTGTTAATTAAAGTTAACTTCTTTTTCCTTCAAAATTGGGCTATGGTGAAGAAAGAAGGGTTTACACTTTTGTAATAAAAGTGGCTATTTTCAATGCTATACTGTACAATGCTACACTGCTCTGTAAATAATGCATCTCTCTAAGTTCCCAACCTCATGTCATCCCCTGGAATTTCTGTAAGGAAAATGCTGGTGATAGCATCAGACTTGTCATTTTATTCAGTAGACATGCAGGAGAACTCTGCCTCTGACTAAAATCTAGCCTGGACTGGACTTCACTGCAGTAGTCATGTTTTGGTGAACATGAGGTAATCATGCCTCAAAGGGAAATCACTTTGCACTGGAAAGAACAAGACTTTCAAGGTAAAACTTGAGGTCTTTAGGATCTCTCTTCCCTCTCCTCAGGGACAGTTTCAAAAATTACTAATATCTCATAGTAAATGTGGCACAGATGAAGCATGGGCCCAACATTTGGCTTAATCATGGTGTAAGATATTGAATGGGGACTGTGGTCCCAGCGTCTTACTTAGTCTAATAGGGTTTTTCTCTTCTGGTTTGAACTCAGTCACACATTCAGTTTCTCAGAGACTGTTAATGATTTCCCCAATATTTTTTCTGTTTCAAGACAGTTAAGCACTGGTTTTTAGCTTCCTTGTTATAAATTGTGACCTGGTTTTAGCGAACAGAATATGACAGTAAGTACTGCACGTAACTCTTAGGTCATGCCCTTGAAATAAATCCTTTTCCTTCTTCCTTCTGACAGGGACAATCACTTTTGGCCATGCAAGTGAGGGCAGTATATCGGGGATGGCTTGAAGCTTAGATCCCTGATCCACTGAACTTCCCTTTTCTGCTGGCCCTCTGACTGGATTGATTTATGCAAAGGAAATTATTATGGTTTGGATCTT